GGGGAGGGTCTTTCTCCTCATTCGGGGGCCACAGGGAGGGTTTTTTCCCCTGCTTCTCTCTTGTGTGTGACTCCCAGCTGATTTTTCTGGGGTCCCCGACCCCAACGCTTCTCTCTTGTGTGTGATTCCCAGCTGATTTTTCTGGGGTCCCCGACCCCAAAAAAGTTCCCCACCCCGGCACAGACATTCCTCATAACCACGTCATGAAGACCACTCCTCATAACTCGTGTTGGTATTAACCCCCCGGGGCGGGTGGGGTACACAGAGCTGGTGACACGCCCACGGAGTCTCTTAGGAGAAAAGAGATTTGATCCCACATGTAGGGCTGTGAAGTTATTCCGGGAGACTCCCCCCCCCCACACACACACGTGATATAATGTCGTTTTCTGTACATTTCCTACTCTCATCTCCAGGGTGGCTTTCCACAGTGGCTGGGAGGTTGATGACGATTCCGGGATACACCAAGCCAATCCCAAAGGGCGTCAGAGGCAGGGAGAGGCATTGTCTTCCCAAACTGCCAAGCATGGCCCTGCCCGCACTCCGCCCTCTGCCCACACCTCCCCCATGTTCCAGAACTGGAGAGGCTGGAGACCTACCCCTGCAGTGGGGGGTGGCTATGGGGGAGCTGGAGCCCTGTCCATTGTGGTGGGGGGCTCGGCTCCTGAAAGAGGCGAGGCCCCAGATGGAAAAGGCAGAGTTGAGGGGTTGCCTCCCCCAGTCATAGATTCGCCCACCGCCCATGGCACCCCTATTCACATGGCTTTGGGCCCTAGCTAATGCTTTACCCTTTCTCCTCAGCAAAGGTCTGTCGTGCAAAGCTGTGTTAATAACTCAGCCTGCAAGAGTGTATATACTTAGGCGTGCTTTGAATAATGGAAATAACGGATCAGTGCCCAGCGTGTAATTGTCAGTCATTTCTGACGTTATATATTTGGGAACCAATTTTTTTTCAGTCCTATTCAGGGCACCCTCCGGTCATGAACACTGAGTCATGAAATGCAGAAATACCCCACTTGTGACCAAAACTCAAAAATCCAACGGTCTTTTTAGAATCATAGACTCACAGAACGGGAAGGGACCTCGAGAGGTCATCGAGTCCAGTCCCCTGCCCTCGTGGCAGGACCCAGTACTATCTAGACCATCCCTGATAGGTGTCTGTCTAACCTGCTCTTAAATATCTCCGGCAATTCCACAACCTCCCTAGGCAACTTATTCCAGTGTTTAACCACCCTGAGAGTTGGGAAGTTTTCCCTAATGTCCAACCTAAACCTCCCTTGCTGCCGTTTAAACCCATTGCTTCTTGTCCTGTCCTCAGAGGCTCAGAGATCAATTTTTCTCCCTTCTCCTTGTGACACCCTTTTAGATATCTGAAAACCGCTCTCATGTCCCCTCTCAGTCTTCTCCTTTCCAAACTAAACAAGCCCAGTTCTTTCAGTCTTCCTTCATAGGTCATCTTCTCTAGACCTTTCATCATTTTAAATGGCTATTTCCCCCCCCCCCCCCCCCCCCGTGTCTGGCTTGATTGCATTTGACCAGACTTTGCAAAAGATTCACCTCTGAGCCAAAGGGATGAGAAATGCAGCCACAAAATGGGGGGGGGAGAGGTGGAGGAAGATTGTGAAGGAACAAAGCATGCAGCCAAACTGGCTCTTTCTGGGGTCTGTGTGTCACTCTGGCATAGCAACAAGGGGATCTGTGCACCATATTTCTCAGGATCTGAGCGTGCTCTAATTAGACTTTTTTACCAAATTTGAGACAATACAAATTCTCGTTTGTTTTCCCCTTTGGGAATCTCACAGATAATTATTTTTAAAATCCTTCCAGTTCCCAGTTAAAACACAGCTCTTGCTGTGTGATCTCAGAGGCTTTTAACAGTGTCTGTTCCCCTTTCCCAGCCATTTAAACTTCCAATATAAAAATAAAATGAAATCCGGCCTTTCAAAAGAAAAGAGTAAACGCTCTGGACACCTTGGACGTGTGGTTTCACTTTATAGCATTACTTAGCACCTGATCAGCATTTTTTTAAGAAATAGGAAAGTAATAAAACTTCTAGCCGGTGCTGGAGTTCTGAGTTGCACATTCCACACGTTGATTGTGTCTCTCTGGCCCATTCCTCGCTGCTCTGAAAACTTCACACTTTTCCCTTTTAAAACACATGTTCGTTTTGGGGTCTGGGTCTTGAAAAAAAAACCCACTGCTTACAAAATTGGCCGCACCAGACGCTGCCTCTCAGAGGCTCAGCAAGGAGGACGGGAAACATGTCTGTTTTACAACGCTCGTACGTGTTTCCAGGGGTGTTTAGATTAAGATTTACTAGAATTAGGGCCTCAAACATTGCCCCTTTTATCCACGGGGCTGCAGCTTTCTCGCACAGAGCTCCTTGGGGTTTGCCGGATGGAGGAAAAGTTGGTGGCTGGAAATGCTTGTGTGCAGAGTGATTACATTTTCAGAGGCCCTTTCGGAGGCCGAGGCACATTCTGTCTTACTCTTTGGGCTGGATGCTCTGAGCTGCAGAGACTCTCGGCTTAGAAAAAATGAGGCTAAGGGGGGAGGATAGGATCAAGGACTCTAAAATCAGGACTGGCGTGGAGAAAATGATAAGGAAAAGTTATTGACTTGTCTCCCAACATAAGAACTAGGGGTCACCAAAGGAAATGAATAGGTAGCAGGTTTAAAAAAACAAAAGGAAGTATTTCGTCATACAACCCACAGTCAACCTGTGGAACTCCTTGCCAGAGGAAGTTGTGAAGGCCAAGATTATTAGAGGGTTTATAAAAAAGAGCTAGGTAAATTCATGGGGGATAGGTCCACCAATGGCTATTAGCCAGGATGGATAGGGATGTTGTCTGTAGCTTCTATTTGTCAGAGGCTGGAAATGGATGACAGAAGAGGGATTGTTTGAGGATTCCCTGTTCTGTTCACTCCCTCTGGGGCATCTGGTATTGGCCACTGGCGAGATGGACCTTGCAAACTCCGTCCCCTTAAGATGCTGTCCATGCCTTCCCATGCTAGGCAAGCCCAGGCAGGGCCATGCACTTGCCAGGCATAATGAAGCCCTGAGCCTGAGGCCTCTAGGCAGTAGCACAGTCAAAGTAACTAGAAATACAGTAGAAATCTTGGTCTTCATAACTTCCTCTGGCAAGGAGTTCCACAGGTTGACTGTGGGTTGTGTAATGAAATATTTCCTTTTTTTTAAACCTGCTACCTAGTCCTTTCCTTTGTGCCTCTGGAATACCAAGCCCAGCTTGACTGGCTTCAGGGACCGCACTATAGACTCAGCTCCTCTGTGCAAGGCTGGGGTGTACATGTGCCTGTTTTGCCTTCCCACTGTGGGGAGGGGTTTTGGGAGCTTTTGGGGTGAATTAATTAAAAATAAATGCACTGTCTAGCTCATTGCGGTGTAGTGCGCCCCTGGGCCAGAGGACCACAGCTGGAATATCAATGCCAGGAGGGGAAAATTAGCCTTTCGCAGAAGAAGTTACGTGGTTGCTTGACAAAACTCTTAAGGTGGCACCTGCAATAACTGATTGTAATATCACCAAGGCAACAAAAAGTGGTGTTGGATCATTCACCGTGAGAGTCTCCATTAGATGGAGCTTGGTGGCATGCCCCATATTTACATAGCGAGAAATGTGTAAATCTCCGGAGAGCTTGGCAGGGTGGCCCTGTGGCACAGAAGGTGGAAAGTATATATCTTACTATATATTTTAGAAAGGGGCGTCTGTCTGTCTGTCTGTGAGTCCGTTTGTTCGGGAACTCCTCCTAAACCGTAAGAGCTAGGGCTACCCCATTTGGTATGGCAGCTTCCTCTTACATTAATGTGCCAGGACAATGGGAAGTGCCGGGAAACTGATTGTTTCTCATAAAGTGGAAAGGGAGGGATCTGAAAGGAGGGAGTTATACTGTAGCATGACCACAGGGCGCAGCAAAGGGCCAGAGATGGGGACCAGGACAGCTATCTCGAATATAAGGGCCAGCAGAGGGCAGGGGTGGAGAAAGGGACAGCTATTTATAATATTTTTCAGAGAGTGTATCTGTTTGCGTGTCTGTACATGCACTCCTCCCCTGGCTGTGCCTGCTGGAGCTGCAGCAGCCATAGACAGGCGCTTCCCACCTGGCCCTAAATTTCTGTGGAGAGAGAGGGCTGCAGTTGTCCTCTCTCTCCAGGACAGCCTGCACACTGACCCCCCTCAGCTCCAGCCTCAACCGCAACCCCACAACAAATGATTGAAATGAAGAAAAACAAAACGTATTTGTGTTAAGGACCCGAGCTGGGTGAATCTTCTAGGTCGGAACAATCGTAAGAGCTTGCACCCTGTCAACCGGTGCCCCAGGTGTGCAAACTTGTGTGTGTGTGTAGACACGTGTATGAATGGAACGGGGTGACACGTGCATTCCCAACACCCGTTGAGTGCACACTGTGCGCGCCAAATGCTTAACACAAGTGCTTAAAGTTAAGCATGTCCTCCAGGATGTAACTGACCAGGGTGTAATTGACCAGCTCTGGGTTCAAGATTCTTCACTCTTTGCTCAGGGGAGATCTGGCTGTGAATGGGTTTTTTTAAGTGTTTCCGTGGTTGCTTCTGAAATCCCCTTTGCCCCAAGCCCCACCCACCAGCCACAGGCTGCCACGCCTTCCCGAAACCCAGCCCCTTCGGCGGTCAGCAAGGAAGGCCAAAGCAAACCATATAAACAGTCCCTGCCCAGGCAGCGGTGAGCAAGAGACACCTTCTCCCCTGGCGCCCGCTCTTTCGGATAATAATCCGCTTATTCTTGGAGAGAAACCCACATTCAATTTATATCTCGCTGTCCAAGTTGTAGGAAAAAGCTGCCAAACCTGCCTCTACTAATCCCAGGCATCTCCTGTGTTTTCATCATGTGAACAGAGAGAAGGAGGCTTTTTGCCCAGCAGGCAACCCAAATAGATTTGGGGAAGAGCTAGAGGTTGAGCCACATAAGAGATTGTTCCTTGATACTTTTTTTTTGTTTTTTTGCTGCAGATCCTGCAGTCATAACCCCCCAAGATCCAACCCTGGTGATTGGCTCTTCACTCACCGCAACTTGCTCAGTGAACTCCGACCTACACCTGAAAGCAGGGGACCTGTACTGGACTCTGAATGGCAGACGGCTCCCCCCAGAGTCCTACAAGGTCCTCAATGGCACCACCCTCAGCGTGACGCTAGCCAACCTGAACGGGTCCAGGCAGCAGTCAGGCGATAACCTGGTGTGTCACAGCAGAGACGGCAGCATCCTGGCTGGATCCTGTCTGTATGTGGGATGTAGGTTGGCAATTCTTCTGCATAGAGAGATGTGGGTTTAGCCAAAACACCCCAATGGTCCCTCTAAACTTTTCCATCCATGAGCAGAATAACTTTTGTTCGGTGCACCGAGGCATGTGCAGATGTGCACCACCAGTAGAAACACATGCTGCCGGCCGTGAGCGGTCTGCTAATCGGCTGGGTGGCACCTGAATCTCTTCTGGGCGACCACTCAAGCATACAGCTTGCAGGGAACATTAGTCACAGCCAGAACAACAAACCTGCCCAAATTCATTCTGGTACAGTCGGAAGCTTACACTGGGATGAAATCTGGCTACACAGGGATATTTACCTTGTTCATTGATAGACCTTTAGCATGCGCCTCTTATCCTAAAGGATCCCTAAGCATTTTAAGGATGGTACAAACATAAATGTTGCTGTCCATCTACTGACATGCAGCCGTCTCTGGGGTGGAGCCTACCGGCAGCACGGCTCAATAGCTTTGAGGAGGGGAAATTAAGAATAGCATCTCCAGTCAAACTGCCTGGGGTGTTTGGAGAAGGAGGGGATGACTCGAGTTGGAATTTGGCCCAGACACTTAGACTGAACACACCAGCTCTTGTCAAAAAAGTTCCGTCGGCTTCTACCAATGGCAAGATATTCAGGGGGGTTTTGTTTCTATGCCAGAGGAGAAGCCATAGGATGCCACGTGCCCACCTCTTTCATCAGGGCCTGAGCATTTCATTAGGACAAAAGGAGTAATTGACACCAGTGTTGTTGGGTAGCAAGAACGAGACAGAAGCAGCTCCAGCAACAATCCTAGTAATTTGTACACTAATGCAGAAGAAGCTCTGGCAACAATCCTAGTAATTTGTACACTAATCATCTGCACCTTTTAATGGCTTCCCCATAATTTGCACTACCAGCTCATTAATAGAACCCTAACCCTGGGAATGATCACACATGGTGTTAGCCTCTGCATATGAGAACTCAACAGCCGCACGTCTCTTTGGCAACTGGAGGTGAAATTACAGTTGTCCAAATCAATGATCGTAAGATTTTATCTTAGGCTATTTTAAGGACATGTCTAGGAGTGTCTCAGAACAGAGAGGCTTAACGGGGAACTGAAAAGCTTTTTCTCATTTGTTCCCAAAAGAAAACTGCTTCAGATCCCAGATAAGCCACTGAATAAATGGGTGGACATTAGAAAAAACAGCCACCCAGCCTGATAAACGCTCTTAACGTTTCAAACAGAGAAATCATTTGCGCTTTTATGCACCTGCCGAGACCTGAGTTCAGGAGTCTGTCTTCCTCCTACAACAGTGGCTTGGGGGTGTTACCCCCAACTCAGGATATTTTCTTGGGTGTCTCGGATGGTGATTTACAGAATCCTGAGCTTGGGTCCTGGCAGGTGAGGGACAAGTGGGCAGATTTGTCTACATGCATTTAGCCGGGGATCTTAAAACCAGTTTGTTAAACAAATCCACGGAGCAAAGTTCTCCAGCTCAGTCCTCAGAGCCGGGGACGTGCTGGCGGTTTCTTTGCAGAACTGGTTTCCCGTCAAGTGTTCTTCTCCCTTTTAGTGCCACCAGAAAAACCAGTCAACATAACCTGCTGGTCCAAAAACATGAAAGACCTCACCTGTAAATGGGCCCCCGGCACGGAAGGTGAGACCTACCTGCACACCAACTACACCCTCAAATACAAACTCAGGTACAGACAAGCGGCTGGCGGGGGAGGGAATTCATTCTTGCTATTCTTTGGCATGCAAGCGCAGCAGCGAAAGGTTTCCAGCAGGGGTGGGCAACCTGTATATGTATTTGTGGCCCATGAGACATTTGGTTGACTGCTGCCCACATTCAGGGCTGCTAGATTCTGCTGGTTTCCAGACATGCAGCTGTTTGCCTACTAGGCTACGTCGAGACTGGCATGATTTTCCGGAAATGCTTTTAACGGAAAACTTTTCCGTTAAAAGCATTTTCAGAAAAGAGCGTCTAGATTGGCACGGACGCTTTTCTGCAAAAAAGCCCCGATCGCCATTTTCGCAATCCGGGCTTTTTTGCAGAAACCAAATCTGAGCTGTCTACACTGGCCCTTTTACGCAAAAGGGACTTTTGCCCGAACGGGAGCAGCATAGTATTTCCGCAAGAACACTGACAATCTTACATGAGATCGTCAGTGCTTTTGCGGAAATTCAAGCGGCCGGTGTAGACAGCTGGCAAGTTTTTCCGGAAAAGTGGCTGATTTTCCGGAAAAACTGCCCAGTCTAGACACAGCCCTGGTGGTATTAAAGTAGGGGAGGGCAAAAGGGCCTCTGTGGGCTGGATCCGGCCCACCAAGCAGGTTGATCCAGCCCGCAGAGGCCCCGCTGCTCTCCAGCCCATAGGCCAATTAGGACCTGGGGACAGGGGAAGCACACGAAGTTTCCTTTGCTCTGCCAGGAGCACGTGGTGCTTTGAAGCGCCGCTTGCTTCTGGCAGGGTGGGAGGAGACTTTGCCCTGGCAGGGTGGCAGGAGACTTCGCGTGCTCCCCCACCCCCAGGCCCTGATCGGCCTGGAGGAGCACGGGAAGTCTCTTCCCACCGCCAGGGGCATGGGTGCTTAGTGGGAAGGAGGGGCAAAGGGGCTCCCCCACCTCCAGACCAGTCATGGTCTGTGAGTGGGGAAGCCCGAAGCATCCTGGCCCCGCCCCTTCCCGGGAGGTCCGGGGCCACTTCAAAAAATGATTGCCCACCCCTGGACTAAAGTGCTCCTTGCACGGAACACTGACTAGGAGAGCCGTGTGCTGCCTCTGCAGCCATCAAAGCGCTGCCACGGTTCCCCCGCCTGGAGTTGAAGGGCAGACGGGGCCCAGCCTGGTGCCGGTGGCCTCCCTGCGCAATGAGTCTGGCAGGGCTCAGCCTTCTCCTTCCTGGGCACCTGAGAGAGGCAAAGATTAAGAGGAGTCTGTGGCTAATGCATAGTCGCATGTGCCTGGACCCCTGGGCTCTGTTCCCAGCTGTGGGAGGGACGCAGGGATTAGTGCAGGGGGCTGGGAATTCCCAGCTGACCCAATGGACTCATCCTTGGGAAACTGCTCCGTGCCTCAGTTTCCCCATCTGTGCAATGGGGCTAAGGGCACTGACCACCTTCCCAGGGGATTGTGGGGCTTTATTCATTAGCTTGGAGATCCTTGGCATTCCGGCATCCTAGAGCACCAGGAGTCTTTGCTCTCTGGACAGACAGTAGCCGTTGGCATTTTGGGCTGGGAATCCCGCACCATGCAGAGAGACTCTGCAAGTATTAACCGGCCCGTAAATGAGTCACAGCTCCGGTTAGGAGCAGTCACCTCCTCAGTGTGAGCGTGGAGGGGGCAGGCTTGGGGATTCACCCCTAGCATCACGGTAGCATCCCAAGGCGCCCGTGAGGAAAGCAGTGGGGGGGCGACGGCATCCCAGGGTGCAGCCGCGACATTCTGGGGTCGGCTTCTACGGGCCGCTGAGGAGCTTGGATGGAAACCAAGGGGCAGATTTTCTGCTGGGGCAAGCTGACCGAGTTCCCTGGAGTCCAGCGCGATTCACCAGCAGGGGACTCGACCTGAGGGGTGGGCTGGGGCCTCTCGTTCGCAGGTGGTACGGCCGGGACAACACATGCCAGGAGTATCGCACGGCGGGGCAGTACTCCTGCCACATCCCCAAGGACCTGGCCCTCCTCACGCCCTACGA